TGTTGCCCACTCGCGGACCCGTATCGCCGGTTCCTACGTAATTAAAAAAACAATTCAACTTTCAACTAATGCGAAGGTAAAGGATGTAATAGACATAAAGAAACTTTTCGCTTTTCTAGTCTGTTTCTCATATATCTGTCATGTGTATCGCAATTTCCGCGTCGGGTATATTTAATTTGCTGAACTGGTTCTAAATAATTGATGTTCTATAAATAACTGAAAATTCTTGAAATGATCAAGATTTACCTTCATATCTTTATGAGAATATATAGACATTTAGCAATAAGTTGACGAGAGAAATGTGTATATAGATAGAAAATAATATAAATAAAAATATTTTTTTTTAATATTGCGAAATATTTATTAATTTATCGATTTGAGTATAATTTAAATGTAATTTTGTAAAATATTTAATTTTTTGTCAATATATATTTATAAAGATTTAGCAAATTCTTATATTGATACTTGTAAAATATTTTATTTTAGCTTAAATTATAATTATCAAATTTATTGTTATAGCTTTGAAAACATATTTATTACCAAAGTATTAACAATTTTTTACTTAGAAATTATATATACTTAAATGTTACAAATAATGCTTAAATAAATTATAAAATTATTATAAATATTTCTAAGTATTATTTTGTTGTTTTTAATAAAAATAATAACAATAATAATAATAATAATAATATTCTTTCTCCATAAAGAATTAAAAAAATGTTTTTACATATGCATGTGAAATCGGTTTCCTGCTTAATACTCGCCATGAAATATATGTCATTGATTGTATATTAATGTTCAAGGCTTTGGGAAAACATGTTATGAGTTTTTATGTGCATGTGAAATCAGTTTAGCTCACAAGGGACTCTTCAAGGGAACAAACTGCACAATAGCTACAGCATAGAGAAAATTATTCAAGCATCTTGACTCCCTTTGGATCACTTTCCACCCAAAAATTAGACCGGAAATAAAATAAATATAAATAATAAAATAATAAAATAAATGTTTTTTTAACTTTTTAATAAATTATCCAAGCATCTTAACTCCCTTTGGATCACTTTCCACCTAAAAACTAGACCGGAATTAAAATAAATATAAATAATAAAATAAATGTTTTTAAATAAGTTTTCCCTCCGACAAGCATTGAAAAAAAATAAAATTTATTTTATTATTTTTTATTTATTTTATTATTTCATTATTTATATTTATTTTATTTCCGGTATAGTTTTTGGGTGTAAAGTGATCCAAAGGGAGTCAAGATGCTTAGATAATTTTCTCTATGCTGTAGCTATTGTGCAGTTTGTGAGGGTCCCTTGTCAGTCTTTAGTATCTTGATTAAGTCATTGATGAAATATTAACTATTATTGTCACACATTTATGTTCTAAAACCATATTCCTTTGACGTGCGATATGCAATGTGTATTTGCGTTAGATAACTATGTCGTGTTGAAACAAGAATTAATTTTTTTGGAATGTCATATTCTTCTCAGATTGTTATGACATCCCCGTGGCCTTAACTAAACGATAATAATATTTGTATGTACATCTATCTTAAACGAAACTGGTTTCACCTCTGTAGTAGCTAATCATCAATAATACTAATCAAGTCAATGCGCGTCGCTTGTGTCATTTGTTGAATCTTGATGTAATACTGTTACGCGTCTGTATCCTCTGACAGTGTCGAGAGGATATGATTGATAGGATGAGGAGCAAAAAAAATTTATCGATAATATTACCGATTAAATTAATGGACTAAAATCCTGATGCAAACTAGTTTGTTATCGTAAAGCGTAGTTTTGTTGAATCTTGATGTAATACTATTACGCGTTTGTATCCTGTGACAGTGTCGAGAGGATATGATTGGAGCAAAAAAAATTTATCGATAATATTACCGATTAAATTAATGGACTGAAATCCTGATGTAAACTAGTTTGTTATCGCAAAGTGTAGTTTTATTATCGAATAGTTTCAACGTACAGTGAAAGCGTATTAAACGTAAAAAATTGAATCTGGGTTCATAACTATTTAATAAAAAAAAATTAAAAATTTAAGTAAAACTGAGAAAGAGAGAGAGAGAGAGAGAATTGATTCTTAGAATTAGTTTGTAAAAAAATAAAATATATTAATATATAAAATATAATATATAAATATATAATAATTACTATTAAAGAAGTGATCTTTTCCAAATTTTTACTAAAAAAAGATAATCGTAAAAGTTTTTATTAATAATAAAATTATCTCATCGAAAAATTTCTTTACAAAATTATAAACGATTATACTAAAAATGTAGGCAAAATTATTTTTTCGAATTGTAATAATCATTTATGTCAAGTGAATTATGAATAAATCTTTTTAACGCTTTCTATATTATTCATATAGAAAACATTAAAAATTCGATATATTATCAATCCAAATAGTACACAGAATTAAAAAAATATTTATTTGCCTACTCAGTTTTATGTCATCAATTCTGAATTCATTTTTAGGTGTAAAAAGAATTCTTTTTCAGAATTTTTAGAAACAAATTTTTTTTGCATTTAAAAATAAACTCAGAATTAATGGCATATGACTGCCATGAGTTCTTTTTTAATTCTTTGTGGTATCTGGGAATATATGTATAATAGTTCGTTAAAAAACAACCAATTACAACTATAATGTGTTATATTTTTCTGTTTTCACATTAGAATTATTATTATCAGATATGCGTATTAATGCATTTGTTTAAGATTGACTTGAAGATTAATGTATTCTGTGCAATATATTATGTTATCTGCCAATATGTCAGAATTTACTTATTTGTTTAAATATAGATAATTCCAACTGTACAAAATTCTTTAATATTGTAAAAAATATCAATTTTATATATATAATAATAATAAATTTACAAAACATTTTTAAAACAGTAAGTGAATTTAAATTATTTGTCAAGTTTTTATAATAATAATAATAATAATAATAATTTTAAAAGCTGTATAATTTAATAAAAAAGATTTATCTGTTTTTATTTAATTTACGTTAAACTGCAAGAATTTAAAACTCCTTTAGATTCATTTTGTTGAGAATTCAATGAATTTTTCATATAACGCACATTCTGACGATGTCTCCTTTACAAGGATGTACATACATAATACCTTGATGTTTGGTTAGTGCATATGCTCACAGATATTTCCACATTGCGCAAGTACACGTAATATCTTTACTGTTTGATCAGTGCACGTTCTAATAGATTTTCATGAAAAAAAATGTAAATAGATTACGTAAAACGAATCAATAATGACAATAATCAATCACAATAATAATCACGGTTAAATTACTAGTTTAATTTTGAAAAAGTATTTTCATAAATATTTTTTTACCCTATTTGGTCATGCAATTGAATATTAATATTTTAATTCAAATAACTTATTTTGAATATATTAGAAGTATGTAAATAATTTATTCCGCATGTTAGAAATATTTTCTTTTAAATAGTAAACATTGAAATAAGACGAAGTTACTACTAAAACTATTAAAATACAGTGTTTGATTATATATACATCTTTCTCTTTTAGTAATTCTATCTTACTGTCAACAAAAATTTTTTAAATATTATATAAATAATTATGTTTATTATGCTGATACAATCTTTGGAACAAATCAAATGCGATTTATAATATAATAATTACTTACTATTTCTTTGCTAATAGCTCTAATCTTGATTTTTGCTCAAGCTGATTTGCAAAAAGCAACGATCGTGCTAACTTTAAACTTAAGTTAGCATAGCTATTGTTAATTTCTTGCGAATCGATTGGAGCAAAAAAAATTGAGATTAGAGTTAAGATTTAATTCTAAATAGCAAATAAATAGCAATTCTTTATATAAGTAGTTCTTATATAATCGCTAATTGTGTCAAGGTAATTGTGTCAGCTTAATAGATATATTAAATAACTTAGTACAATAATGAGATTAGCATATTTTTATAATCACTGTAGTTATTATTAATAAAACGGATTTAATCGTATGTGTAGAATTCCTACATACATTGCATTACGTAAATAAGATTCGAGAATTCTTGATTCGAAATCTTAATCAGAAGATAATCCTTTATATTCCTCTAAATCCAATTAGTTTTATAATTATAACATTACTCTAAATTTAATTAGTTTTATAATTATAACATTATTTGTTTAATTTTTGAATTATGAGCTAAATAATTATTTTATACATATGAAATATATGTATAGTAGGCAATAATTATTCTATGCATTATATATTTTTTAAATAATGAAAAATAAATTGTAACGTTTTGTGTAATAATTTATCTTTTGAGTGATATTACGCACAAACGAGAGAGATTGAAAAAGAAGATTATGATAAAAAGAACTACTTATTAGTAAAAAAAAACAGTGTTATTTCAGCATATATTAAGTGTGATGCATGCAGACGTTGTGGTTAGAGTAAAAAAATGTTTTGCAACTATACGTAAGAATTATAAAATCTAGATGTAGATTTTTTTGTCGAATTCATATTGTCAATAAATTACACTATTTACGCCGTTTGGTTTTACTGATTATTTGTAGCAAAGGAGTAAAATTACTGGCAACTGATACGTCTTATATAATCATGCATAGATATCTACGAAAATGTCTCTTACTTATCAATATTTCATTAATAAATTTATTTCTCTCTATACAATATCATCATAAATATACTACATTTAGCGGAAATCTTAAGATCGTTTATTACAATATTATCTTAATATTTTTTTATTTAATAAATATTAAAAAATAATGTAAAATGATGCGGTTTTTTTTATTTATTTGTTATTTCTATAATGGCATTTTTTCTTATAAGATAATATAAAATATAATTAATTATGAGATATATATATTAAATTCGATCACGCTGCAAATTTAGACAAAACAAAACTTCTGTTAAATAACTAGTAAATAAATGTAATTACTTATAATAGCTTTGCAAAATTTTCTGACTTAATTAATTTTAATTTTGCTTTAACAGAAATCAATTTTTTACAATCTAATTAAGCTTTAATTAAAGTTGTAAAATAATACTCATTATTTTAGAAAATTCGTCGCAAATCTAGAAAATTTAAGATGTCGCGCGCGACAAGTCTTCGACGACTTCGACTGACGTAGCGCGCAGTATCGTAAATCGTTGACATCTGAACCGTGGCTTGTGCTATCGACAGGAGGAAAGAGAAAATGTGATTTGCTGCATTATAATGATCCTCGATTGCGATCCAATTATGTTTTATTTATTATGACGTGATATGTCAATGTTGTCGGACTACATTTATCTACGTGTTAACAAAACATTTTATATGTATGCTCTATTTTCTAACCTATAATAGTACGCACATATCTGTTTATAACTGCATAATATTAGAAAAACATGTCATCATCTCACACGACGGAGTTGACCGAGCAATTGGTTAAAGACTATGCGAATTACGCAAAAGTAGACTGGAATAATCAGGCGAGTGTGTGTGTTTGTGTTCTACAAAATTGAAATCCTGTTGTTTGAGGAGTTATTAAACAACTTGTGTATTTTAGATGAAAAATGTTCGTGATATCATAGAGGATACACTGATACGACTGGAGGAATTCCAATCGATTGTTGCAATGGTTAGCAAATCCAAATAGAATATTAACGACTCAATATCATGAAACTTTAAACATTTCTGTCTCGCAAAGGTGGAGAATAGCAGTGCCGAATGCATGCAACAGCATCTTCCAAAGTTACAGCACATGAAGGACGGTATGGCAACTCTTCGCAAGAGAATAGACGCACTGGAGCACGTTGTTGCAATGGCCAATATGAATTTAAGTACATTGGAAGCTGCTGTAGAAAAGGCAGAGGCTGATCTAGGTGTATCGGATAAATTATTCGGGATATTAAATCCTTTATCATTTTTTGTAAGCACAATTTGCTTAAAGAATATATTTTTAACGTTTAACTTTATTACATAATTGAATTATGTACTTTATGTAATTATTATGTATGTTATAATTCCTTAAGCAATTTGAATTTATTTTTTCAGAAGAAAAGTCAGGAACCAGTCGCGTCAAGTTCAGTGCCAATATATAAATCGCCCATAATTTATAAGTCTGATGACTATTTTCAAAGAGAATAAAAAAAGGCTTGAGTTATGAAGTACCTGTTATTAGATTAAGAGAAGTATTTATAAATTTATGCAAGTCAGTAATATCTATGGGAAAAAACATATAGTTGATTGGATATTAAATAAATCTATAATAGATTTTTATATTATGTGTTATATTCTTGTCTACTTATAATTGTCGATATTTATCACAATTCAATTAGCAAGATTTTATGTACGTATTTCATTCGGAACTAAATCATTCATCTATGGTAGTGATTAATTGTTGCATTAATTGTAGATATTTTAGCCTGTCAAACTGTACAAAAAACATCATTTATCTTACTCGTAAACCTTTCAAAATTTTGAATTCAAAATTTTGATGTATTCTACATAAATAAAGTATAAAATATACGCATATTATTTGCGATTTCTGAAATAAGAACGCATTCATTTTTATCGAAGAAATACATACAAAAAATAAAATGTAGAAGATATACGAAGTTTTAGTTATGAACGGAAATTTTCATGAACAGATTTATTTATTTGGAATGCTCTTAATTTTTAACAAGCTTCCTTTCCTTTAAACAATTACCATTAAGTACCACATGAAGTAATGTAAATACCTTAAAGCTACATTGTGCATGTAAGATATTCTAACATGCTGCGGAAGTGCAAGTTTTCAATTGAGCTTTCTTCTCTCCCAAGGAACAACTTCCGCCTATGCAGTGTCTCCACCGCATAATCTTTCCTATTCCACAAGTGACGCTGCATGTGGACCAATTACCCCATTGGTCCCATATCTTTGGTTCTTTGCCGTTTTTTTCTAAAATAATATCACACCAATTATTTCACTTGTAACAACACGAGTAAAAGTCAATTTCTAGTGACCGAAAAGAATAACAAAATAACTATCTTTTAATATCAATGTATACAAATATACAAATTATAATTACATGAAAAATTAATTCTCTACTAAATATGATTGAAAAGCTTTCAATATTAATACTGTAGATGTTTTTAGTCCGTAGAAGAAATATATTCAAAAAGGAAATATTTCAGTCCATTCAAATATTTTTTATGATATGTTAATAATGTTCACTTGTGTTGATTCTTTTTTAAAGAGATAGAATCGTGAAATTAAAAATTAAAAGCATTATTTTAAATAAATGATTCTATGGAAACTTTCATAGAATTACATGGAAATTTTCACTATTTCGCCATTTATACATCTTTCATTTCTTCACGCACGTCATACACGTAACACGCACGTCATACGCGCACAATCTGGTCATAAATCAGATTTTAATAACTAAACGTTAAGATTAATTATTCTATCTTGTCAGAATTCCTGATTAAAGAAAAATCTAAACAGCCGAGAATTTCCGATGAAAAAGTCGAATGGAAATTTCCATTCGTTACCTAAGAATCTTATGTTATTAAAAGTTTCAATTGTTCCTCAATTTGATCGAATTTAGTAATTGGGGCAAAGTTAATTAATGGCAATCAGGGCAAAAGTTGATTAATCGGATCATAGATCTCTTTTTACATAAAATAATATATTTCGCAATATTGCACTCTCGCTGCTCGTATCGCAAGAATTTCAAACAGTGGTGAATGTTGCAAGAAAGAAAAGATATCCCTGCCATGCCACTAGTGGAAATTTCCATTCGTGCACTGCCCAAATGTTGTTCATGTACGCGTGTATGTTTCGATGATCGGTATTGCGGAAAGGTAAATCTCGCGAACCGGTCTCGGAGAAAGCCACCACACTCACCGACCGGTGTGTACGACCTGATGCGATTGCACGATTCGCGCCCACTCTCATTTATTTATCCCTTATGCAGCTGCCCGCGATTTCATCGCCGCGTTTACTTATTCCGTAATTGCAAAAAAAAAATAAAATTACATAACTTTGTATAGTTATGCGATATTCTGTAACTTTTTGTTTAATATAACTCTGCGATGATAAAATGCAGTTTGAATAATTATTAACGTTGTAATAAATGAAAATTTTATGAATTATCTAAATTTTTGTCAAACATATATATTGTAGTGAGAGGATTCTGATGATAGTACTATTGGTAATGTATGTAAGTACATATTCCAGCAATATAAATGTTTCCCAGAGAGAAATGACTCATCGAATTAATGCCAAATCGACACCAACTCAACGACAACGATACAATGATTTTGACGTCAATTTCACATCGATTTGATGTCAAATTGATGCATTTCTTATCGGTTTTTTCATTAATTCCTCAATTATATTAAACATATTTTAATTGCATTTTTTAATTGTAAATAGTTGATTTTACATATATTTAAAATCACATTTTTTACCTCGTTTTATCTGCGGATGGATATCGTCATCCTCATCGTCATCGACATCGCGAAACATATTATAATTTTTGCGTCGGAGTCTACCAGATTTTATTTTCAATGTGTCGATATCATTTTCAACGATAGTAGGTGTAATATTTGACCGTGTTTCGTCAATTTCCGAAGTGACTTCTTTGAAGGCTAAAATTAAAAAGTTATTTCGCATAGAGGAGTGATACACTGTATTTTAATTATAAGTATTTCGCAGTAATTACCTATAAAAAGTAGGAAAATAGCAAAATGTACAAAGATCAATCGATTTCTATTCATCAATAGATTTTTGCGTTGATATTTAATGTTAATGAATAGAAGATCGTCGCATTGAAATCTTGTTTCTCCAACATTGAAATTAAATCCTCATTGGATATGAAGTAATTCGCGTTGAGTAAGAAGTTTTGAACAAATAACAACTATATATACTGGTGCTATAAAATAATGATGAAAAGAAATATCTCTGTGCGTCAAAGACCGATATTCATAGTAATCGATTCTTATTTTTCAAGATCGTCTTAAGTAATGCTAATATGGTTCTACAATTGGCTTATGATACTTAAGACTCTTATTATACTTAAGACAGTCTTAAATATAAGAATGGACTATGAATATCGGCCTTATAATTTAAAACTTAGTTTTTTTAAATATTATCTTTATATTTTCAGATATGTATTACATATATTAAACATATTAAATATACATGCATATTTCATCTTTAAATTTATTTTTCAAAATTCAGATTTTGAAATGCAGAATTGCAACACAGTGCAACTCGCAAAAATATCATCGAAGAAAATAATGGAAAAATCCATTGGCTACACGCCTACATTCTCGCATCCTTCTTATTGTCACATCAGGACAATTTTACTCCGGAAGAGAGTAATAGAAACTCTTTCCGTGATAGCTTACAAAGTAACGATATTTTTTGTTTGTGCTCGAGACCCCGCTTAGCACTTTCTACATAATGATGTCGAGGAGACGATCGCTTTCGCAAGTCGCAAACAGATCACGATTTTATCCCGAGCCAGCCGAGGAAGCCTTTGGTACTGCAATCCTTGAGATGGCAGCTCCTCAACTGTGCCTTCTTGAGACCTTCGATGCAATCTGCGGACGAGCAGTGACGCCAACGGACCTGTCGTCCTTGCCCGCAAGACACGCTGCACGCGCTCCAAATGCTCCAATTGTCCCAGGCCGCCGAATCTACGGTGAGAGGCAAGGAAAAAAAACGGAATTTCACACCACTTTTCCCTTCCCCACTCCGCCAGTCAATTTCACGTGAACGCCGAAGAACAATAAGCTAAGGAAAATTTTGTTAGAATTATTATGAATTGTGAACTTACGAAACCGGAAATTTATAACACCTACATCTTCAACACTTTCTACTTCTCCGCGTATTTATATTACGTTAATTTCATACGTAATATCTAACATCTAATTCTTTCTTATTTTATACATATATAGACAATGCATTATTCAACATTTTGTACCGCTAATTTAATATCAGAAAAGATAATGAGATAAAAAAAATCATACGTAATATCTAACATCTAATTCTTTATTTTATACATATATAGAGAATGCATTATTCAACATTTTGTACCGCTAATTTAATATCAGAAAAGATAATGTAAGAGATAAAAAAAATCAGATTATATAACAAATTATTTTCCAGTCGAACCATTTTATATTACACGCGAATATTTTAAAATTAATCCTTGATTTTGAAGATTGACTATCAGATTTCATAGAAATGAACTTTTTTCCGTTTAATGATGTTTTGTTTATGGGATTGTCTTTCCCCTTATCTTATCACCTATATCGTCATCGCTCGAGTCGATGTCCTGTGCGATGACATTGCGCTTCCTCTTCATTAGACCCGACGTTCTCGTCGGGGTAATTTCGCGATGTATCTTCCCGTTAGATCTACCACGTCTTGTAGGGTGACTTCCAGAAAAGTCTCGCTCATAACCAAGCAACTTTCGCCCGTAGATCAAATCGGAGCTGGTTTGAAAGTACAGACGGAAATTTCTCTCTGTGCTTCTTTTCCAATGACGATCCAGTGGGGTCAATGTTCTGATTTGTCTAGCAATGTCTACCTAATACGTGAAATAAGAACGAAATGTTTATTTAACAAATACAACACACGCGAGACTCTCAAACTTGGTACACGCGCGTAGATTTTTCTTTCCGCGATTTTTATATTTCGCGAACCTTGGGTTTACCCGTTGTGAATGGAGCCGAATGGAGCGGTGACACGAATTGCGAATAAATGTCCGAATAATAGCGTCTTTCATTGCTGGAACACACATCGAACTATTGAATATAAACCGAGTCGACTAAGTATGCTTGCTGCTACCGAGATGAGAACGTTTATCCTTCTTAACGTTTACGAGAGCGACGAAGAAACGTATTTCTCGCGGTATGCAAAATGATGTTGGCATCCTCGCAATTATCGATGAGGAAATAATGAAATTAGCAGATTTGTATTACGATAAAAAAGTTTTGCAATGTATGTGCAGCAATATGGATAATACTCTTTGAATGACCGGGCAATTTTACCTCTTGAATTCATTATTCGAATCGGCAATCGATACGTTACGTTTATAATTTGGGGCATTAATCGCAAATACGGTACAGGATTTCGGAAAACTTAATACTTCATAAATTACGAATCCGACGTAAATATTGTATGTCAAAATTAATTTAAGTAACACTTGCATATCATATTTCCGGTTCTTATATTGCGCGGTTATGGACATCTACATAAATATCGATACAAAACTGTGTCTAAATTCACGTTATGAAATCGTAATATTAATCGTATAAAATACAATATCTGAAACAAGCGCAAGAGAATATTTAAATATTACTTTATCATTTCTTTTTATTGATCAGAGAATATATTATTTTCTTTTCATAACCGAATAACGAAATAAAAACTTGAGGGATCAAATATATTCCTGCAAGCAAAAAAACATAATTATTACATTTATAATATACTGTTATATATAAAAAAATGTTTTTATATATAACATAAATATATTATAAATGTAATAACATAATTATTATGTTTTTCTGTATTTTTATATATTTCTGCTATACAATATTTGCTTCTTGTTTTCTTTTTACTTCAAATTATCTTTCGATTGTGCAAGTTTTGTAATTATATTATAATTTATCACTATTTTAAAAGAAACAATCCATACTCTTATATACATACAATTATTTTTCTGTAAATTATATATATTTTGATAATATAAACTTTATGATATTAAGATTTACGCAAAACCATATATGTATATTATCATGTAATCTGACGATAAACAAGTTCAATGACAGCAAAGTAGAAAACTTTACATCAATTTCTATTTAAAAATGCGCTATAAAGATTATACATAATGATTCATGAATATTTTGACTGTGTATAAAAATGTGTGTAACTATATGTTACATATGCGTGTACTCACTAATAAAATGTTTTACTATTTGCCAGATCTATGTGTTTTAATAATGATTCACAACCGTTTAAAATGTATAATCATTATGTATAATAAAATTTGCACTTGCGATGTAAAAAATTATATACAGCTAGATTAAGTTTAAATCTACTCGAAGACGAAATACATGAAATGCTAGTAAAATATATACATTTATCATACATTAAGTTTTAACTAATTAGCTGAGATGGCTAACGTTTTGAACCTTCGAGAGATATATCTATAGTAATTTAATATGTATAAAAAGGCCGACTTTGATTGCTGAATGAATTATATAATTTGTATTCGGATTACGCTTGTAAATTTTAATGTCAAAAAAGCTTCTGTAAGAGAAGCATTAAACTAATACGTCGCAAATGTTGGACTAATTATAACCTGAAGAAGGCTTTGTGCGCTCGACCATTCGGTATTTGACCCTGCAGCCTTAATCTGCGAACAGCCTCTCTCAGATGTTTTGGTTGTAATGGACCAGTTTCATTTTGAGCCTCCATAACATCTAAAGCTGTAAACAAGCACAATATATAGTCTAGAATAAAATTTTAAGTCTAACAATATTTATAAAAAAAAGTGCTCCTACCTTCTTCAACGATTTCACCAACAAACACCTTAGCAATTCCCGACATGGCTATGACAACGTTCTGAGACACAGAACATCCCGTTATGGTTTGCATGATCTGAAATACATTTAACAAAATACTTTCTTAAAAATGGATTTTTTTTTGCATATAACGATTAAAACTTATTAAAATACAATACCCTCTTTATAGCTGCCTTTGGAAATGCAGATCGTCTGTACATCTCGTATCTGTCCAGCTGATCTTCAGTAAAGTTAGATACTAGCACTCTGTACAAAAAGAAGTTCTCAGATATATTTCCAAGACAATGTGCACATAAACTTAGATGTCAGATACACACTGCATCTTCTCTCGCTCCTCCTCTTCTATCTCCTTTTTGCTCTTCTCCTTACTCTCCCGTCTTTCTTTCATACTGACTGGATTGGCGCGAGGTATTATAATGTCATTACTAAATATATCTTCAGCGGTCTGTTCATCATCCTTTGTACTACTTCTTCCTTCTTCCTTCACAGTCTCCACTTGGCTCTCCACAATCGGGCAGATGGAACTAGTTCCCGTGTTCTCAGTCTCTTCAGCATCCGACTGCGACTGAGAGCTCATTGCATCCGACTCTGCCTGTGTGCGATGCAGACAATATGATTAGTTTACTTAAAAGACAACGGTTATAGAGTTTAATATTTTGACAGCGTTTATACCTTAACTTGCACACTATCGATCTCCATAGCTTCAGTATCCTTAGATTCTAGATTGTGTATAGGACTAATTTTAATATCTTTATGCTCTTCGATTTCATTTTTCTGTTCACTTTCTCTTTCGTCCCCAGAATCTTCCTTCCCAAAGATATTATCCATCTTTCTGAAAAAGATGTACAAGTATTACAAGAATTAGTCAATTATTATTAATTCATATATTCGCAAATATTTCTTTTACACACATATATATATGTATTAATAATTTTGATAATTAATATTTCGATAATTAACGACATTATATACGATATTTCTCTTGAACACTACATAAATAAATCATATAAAACATTAAAAAATAAACCGTTACGATCTTGTACATTTATCCTTGTGGAATGTTACATGCTGTCGCAATAGGAATAAGGACGTTTGATAAACGTTTGCATAAACATGTTATAAATTATAAAGCAAATAAAAACAGAGGCGGAGAAACAAATAAATCACTCTACTCGCTGGCCTTTTTAGATTCGTAGGTATAATATATATTTATATCAAATAAAATATTATTATTTAAAATATTCGTTCCAAGTGTTGATGAACAATGACACAGAAAATCACGAAAAACAATGATAATATTGCGACCAAAGTGTTATCGACATCAGAATGATCACGCGTCATTTCCAATATGAAAAATATGATTGAAACGGTAAACAATTAACGTACACAAACGGAGCAAAAAGGAGTACCGACAGCAGAGAGAAAGTCTCTCTCGTGACAGGTCTCGCTCGAGTGTATCAGTGTATGCGACGCGAACTGAGGTTAGGTTAGGTTTCCTCTTCGATTGTACCGAGGCTTCGAGAATCGCAATATCGATTCTCGAAGCTCGATGAGCTTCAGTCATACCAATCTGTGGGCCATACAAGGAACGCGCCGCGGCGAGGCGTATACAGTCGGCGCACTGAAATCGCTCCGCATTTCTCGCGACAGCCGGCCCGGTTGGCCGCGTCCAAGAGTATCCCACGCGCGAATTGTTCCTCGTGAAGCGACCAGACGTTCGAGCATCGTCGCCGTCGTCGCGATTTCCGCGGTATTGACAATTCGCTCGCACGCGCCGGTGACTCCGGAGTTCGGAATCTCGTCGCGTTTCTTTCCCTCGCCGCTACTTTCTCGCCGAGGTGCATCGAGAGTGCAGCGAACGTTGCCAGGTATCGCGGTACGTACGCGCGTTGTCATTAATTTTGCGATCAGATCGCTTACGTTAAGCGCGGCTTTGCTGCACATATTATTTTCCGACGTTTCACTTAAAGAAATATTTCGGATTTTATTCTCTGACGTTATATTACGGCTGGTTCGCCACCTCGACCGTTCGTTTCGATACCTCGAGAATCGCAATCTCATCGATATATATGTATATATATCTCGAACCACAGCCATTACGCCAAACGCGCCGCGGTGACCGCGGAGTTCAGTTCGAACCGTTTCGCAATTTTTGCGGATCGTTGCCGATCCGAAACGATCTCGCCGTGCGAAATATTACCGCGAGTGTCTTTCGCGAAGCGATGGGTTTCCGAACTCGTAGCGCGTTAGCCGTCGCGGCACCGTCCATCACCGAAACGTCGCGAATTTTCGGATCGACAAACGCCGCTTGGCGCACAGCTCGACATCGATCGGCGATCTCGCCGGCATATTTCGCGCCAAATTATTTGCCGAAGTACAGTCCAAGTGTCTCCGCGTTCGCGATCTCGGCATCGCGCGCGTGTCGCGCCGCTTCTCGTCGCTGAAAATATTGCTCGAATGCGTCGCCGTTGATAAATCTATTAAGCTATATATATACACTTCGGTAATAATCGTATCATATCAATGGCGGACTCCCCGAGCGCCGCTGGTTGCGGGAGTGGCCGCGCGATGGCGCCGGCATGCCGCGCGGCGGCGAGACCGTTAGCCGCGAGGCGACGACGGTGTCGCGCGACGCCGAGTCCGGGTATTTGTCAATATCCATCCGCTCGGGATTTTCGGCGTTCTGCGTGGCGAGAGCGCGCGTGAACGGCATCCCGCACACGCTACGCGCGCGAAGAGGGGCCGGAGGCGAGACGCAAGAGAGGCTTTCCGCAATCGTTTATCCGTCGTGCGTCCGAGCTCCGGACGACGAAACAGGAGCGACTCCTCTCTCTCTCCCCGGGCTGACGTTTTACGGACGAACGGGTGGCCGTGTCGCACCGCCCGCCGTCGCGCCGTGCCGTGCTGCGTCGCGTCGCGTCGCGTCACCGCGAACCTGGCCGAGCGAGCGAGTTCGGGAGTGCGCGATAGTAGTAGTAGTAACGGCGGCGGAGTACCTGTGTGCGGCCGTGTACCGCGAGTGTGTGTGCGTACGATATCCCCCGCGCCACGGGGGAGCAGGGGTGGAGCGGATCGCGGCGTCAGTGACGTACCTCCTCGCGCATAATACGCGCGGAATAGCGGGCCGGGAGCGGCGGCCGCGACGACGGCGGCGACGTTCGTGTGATATCTGCGTCCAACCACGGAACGTCCTCCTGCCCACGAATGCGGTCCACGGCCGTGTATTAAGATGTAAGTACGAGTTGTGTTACACGAGATTCCCTCTCGTTGGTTCGCGAGCGTGCGAGCGAGCGAGCGAGCGGAGCTGCGACGAGAGACAAGCTCTTTACCGAGAGAAAGAGGATTTCGTTGACGTCGCGCGGTCCGGCCGTGGTCTCGTCGTCGCGGTATTGTTATAAACAGACCAGTTCCCTGTTCTATAAGCCTGCATGTGACTGTATGCGTGTGCATACTTTGCAAATGCGCATGTACAAGGTGCTCTCGAATTAACGAACGGATACTCCTCTCTCTCTCTCTCTCTCTCTCTCTCTCTCTCTCTCTCGGGGAAACGTGGAGTGAATTTTTTTAAATGAAAATCAATTGACTTCCCTTAAATTTCAATACTCGATTTTAACACTCAGTCACTAAAATTCGAACGCAAAAGTCTCGCGAGTGTGAAGCTCACTCTAAATGACGCGCGACGTCCAGAATTCTCTTCACCCCCGTAGATTATCTCGAGTGGAAGAGTTCTGTCAGTCTCGAGCTGACGATAGCTCCGAGGATGAGATTGGCGCTCCGGATATTCTCGCGTACGGGAATCGACCTGGAGCTTCCCCCCTCACCCCTCCCCGCGCGCGACTCCAGGGGAATGTGCCTGTCCGCTAATTCTCGGACACCCCGTATAACGACGTCGCCTACGCTCGCGCGTGCATGCGCGCCGGTGTGAGTGCGCACGCCACTGCTCCATCCGATCTATGTATGCGTGTACATGTGTGTGTGTGCGTGCGTGTGTGTGTGTGTGTGTGTGTGTGTGTATGATCGACACACATGTGTCGATCTCCTTTACTCTCTCTCTTCCTCTCTCTCTCTCTTGCTCCGTTGCACTTTCTCTTTCTCTTTCTGTAGCGCCGCGTTTAAGGGGATACGTGACAGGTACATGCACGCGCGAAACCGGTCCGGCCGACACTTTGGATGCCGCTTTTTTGCAAAGGGCCGATCTACTCCTCTTCCCCTCCCTCTCTTCTCCTTCCTTCCTTCGCTTGCGCCATTTCTATCCTCACCCCTTTGTTCCCTTCACCGTCTTGTCATGTTCTCTTCCCGTCTGGTCCGCGATTCGCTCTCGCGAAGGTGTTGCACAGGATACACAACCGCGGAGTAAGAGAGAAATAAGAGAGCTATAAGATGTGTACATACACGGAGGGATCAATTGGAAAAGCTGACGCGATTGAAGAACGCAAATGGGGCGGATGATTTCACGGGGATATTACGAGGAAACATTGACACTGTTCAGGAAAAAATATTTGACGAGGATAAATATGGATATGTCAAGATATCCGTATATCCGATATATTTATCTGTTGTCACCCTTATCTGTCTCTTGGATGATTTACTTGGATTAATTTTTATCTTGCAGTCGTTCCCAAACAAGGCGTAAGAAATTAATATTACGAATTTATAGAATACAGACAATTGTTTTTTTTAGATTATTTTACATCCTTTATTATAATTATTACTAATATGTCAGATATCCGTATATCCGATATTTATCTGTTGTCACTCTTCTCACTATCTGTGTCTTGAATTATTAAATTGGATTAATTTTTATCTTGCAGTCGGTCCCAAACAAGGCATGAGGAATTAATATTACGAATTTATGGAATTCATAGAATTGCTAGCTTATTTTACATTACTTTATTATAATTATTCTTGTGAAATTAATTATAAAATTCTATATACATATATAAACTTTAATTAATGCTTTATCTACATTTATTAAAATATCACTTCAATATTTGAGTCTAAAAAATATATTTATATAAAATAAAATCTTATAAAAGTAAAGTAACTATTATGTAGTTAGGATTAAGGATTTTATTTATTTTTAATACATTTTTTAATAGTTTATTATAACGTAAATTTTATATTTATTAATATTAATAGTATACGATTTCCTACATAGTTCCTTAATATTAATACTAATATCTACTTAATACAATTGTTGACTGAAAGAGCCAAGGAGATACTACGATACATCAGACTCATTCAATCCAATTTAATCAATTCGGACTTAGACCCGAAAGACGAGCGAGGATTAAGCGTGATCCGTACGGAAGCGTGGCTTCAAGCGACAACGCCGTCGAAGAAGAGTTTTGCTCGATTCTCGGCCCTTATCGTCAGACCACCCTGGACGCGTATATATCTCGAACGTTGCATCTACCTGTCGACGTATAAGGCGCTCGCTGTCTGGGGGGATACAAAACTGAGAAGGTGGACGGTCGTTGGCCGGGAGAGAAACGACCTGAAGTCTCGATACGCCGATGAGAGAGGAAGAGAGCGAGATAGGGTAGGAGACGAGGAATGAGCGAGAGAGCTGCTTTACGACGGAGCTGCGCTCTGCCAATTCTCTCTCTCTCTCTCCGCGAACATTTTCATAGACGTGATGGAAAACCGACAATGATTACGTGCTAGTCTACGCGTTCCGTCGTTCGATTCATGCTTTAAGATCACGATCGTAGAGAGAAAGAGAGGGAGAGAGTGCGCAACTTGCAGTTACAATTAATATAATTCATATATCATTCGCGTAATACGACGGAGCAAGTGTTAGTAGTATCACGAACAAGAGATAAAGAAACAGGAAACTCGATCAATTCGCGTGACCGTGGCAACTTTATTACGCGAATATATCTGTGCCGTATATAAGTTATTATATTATTATAAGTGCGATAAGAAAATTGCAGCGCGCGATGTCAGTTTTATCTCTTTGGAAACTTCTTACGGTTAAACCGCGTCCACTATATACGACCGGTTTCGCGAATGTTCGCTAACACTACGGGCAAACTGTTTGCTTTCATCAAACTGTAATGCAAGCTGTTTAATATGAACGAGACGATCGAGCGCAAACTGTTCTCGAATGTCTAGAGAACATCGATTTCAGAGTGTGCACACTATAGCAAACAGATCGTTATTCGTAACTTGCCTGCGTTTCAATTCAAGTAAAATACAGCACAGCTGTTTTGACTTATTACACTCGGTCACATAATACTCGTTACAACATAATTAATATTTCTTTAAAAAATAACATTCAAGGAAAAAGCTATTATAGTTTTTAATTTCTTTATTTCTTAAACAGCAATTCTGTATCGTGCAGGCATTGCTTTAAAAGCATTTCGTAT